TGTGCTTGTGCAAAGATTCAAGGAGATGCACATTAACTTCTGAAGACCTGCATGTGGCTCCGGAGCTGCAGGTTGGCCACCCCTGATTTATACCATCATAATAAATCCAATATGGTGGAGTGAGGTATCCTAACATGTTTACAGCATCCCAGCATCCAGTAAAAATCTACTCAGATGGGTTTTGGCATGACACCTGTCGGCGGTAGCACAGTTGATCCACTGCAAGCTCTCACTGCGTCCACACAGCAAGCTCCGCCAACTGTTTTTACTTTTTCAGAAATAACAAAAAATTTGCAGTCCTCCTTCCACAGAACAGGAGACACTTTCAAAGACCCTAAGGCTATCTTATATTATGTGGTATTACTGACAGAATTATCTTTGAGAAATGAAATTGTGAACTTTCTGCTTACTGCCAATATGTACCTGGACAGAATGACACCTTCTCTAACATATGCTTAACAGAGCTGTAGTTGCTATTTGATCGTAGATGGCATCTTCAAACAACACCTTTACATACAGCACGCTGTAGCCCAGGGGTAGAATATCCATTGGTGGTCTGGCTGGAAGAATCCACAGCATTGCAAATACAGAAACAGCCCATTCCCCTCTGTCATAGAAGAGCCATTCCTGTCCACCCTCTTCCTGTCAGGATACAATCTTCAGGTCTTTCAAATGTAAATAGACAGCCCTTTCAGAGCTGCCTGTAAGCTTTGTTCCCCTCAAGCAAAAATAAACCAGAATGTTTCAAGACTGCATCTCTCTCTCTACTTGTTTTTTGATTCAGAAATATTTCATGTATTTCCACGTCCACTCGCACCTCATGCCAAGAGTCATGCAGCAGCTGGTTAAGCTGGTCCACCAACTCATCTATCAGTTGAGTCCTGGCAAGATCCACTCTGCTGTGAATGGCCAGATCTCCACTGCAGAGGATGTCATATATCCTAGAGCACGCCTCGAGGACATCCATGTCTGAGTGTTTGCACACAATGTCTTTCACCTCTTTGAGCAAAGCATCCAAATGCTGCAAGTAATAACAAGCATCAGAATGACAGTTAAGTCATGTTTATGCCCTTTTATATTTCAGATTTAAGAAGTGCCTTATACTCCTTTTAATTTTGTACCATCAAATATTAAACAAATCCCAATTTGAAAATGAGAGGGGGATTACAGGACAACTTCACTTGCTGCTTTAGATCTTTGAGCCCTGTCTTATCATCACTATTTTACCATCTTCTTATAGCCTTAAAAGAATAATTTCAGCTCCCAGTATAGCAATATACCGGTGGTTTTACCTAATGACAATGGCAGAGGACAGGGAGGTGAAAGAGTGCTAAGAAGGATAGACACTTGACACTGAAAATTGCCAGCTGAATTAACTAAAGAGGAAGTATGTTTCAGATCTCCCACTATTCTGTTAGGAAGTCATTCACATGTGTGGGCCACTGGCAGTATAGTTTGTTACACAGACAGAACTAGATACAAGCACATTTCTGTCATACTGCTAATTCTTTGTCTCCCCCAACTAACTTCTTAGGCTAGAAGTGTTCAAGGATGTATTTATTCCCTTTGCTAAAATTAACCTCCTGTAACTATCCCTAACAGGGCAAATCTTCTCCAGTTTTCCAAATCCATCCATTTTGCTTTTCCAACCTCATCCATTTGTGACATGGCTCTTCCATGCACAGATACCATTAACCTCATTCTTCTCTTGCAGTTACTCCTGGCAACTGGAGGTAAGACAGTCTCCAGTGAGAATACTAGGAGCAAGCTGCTAGGAGATACCAACTTGGATACACATTGTAACACGCTCTCCTCTCCATCCAACAAAATGCCAAAACACAAGAGCCTAAAATTTATGCAGAAAATGAGGCCTCCTGCATGAAACCATAAATCATTATGCACTGGGGTGCTAAACCAACATAGACAGATGTACATAAACAAGTGTTAAAGCATTACTCTAATGGCCCCGGTACAAAATGTATAGTCTGAACAGGAACACTTCTCTCCAGCTGTATTTCTTCAGACCTATTAAGTCTTACTAAACCCCGCAACTGTTACCAAGTACCATAAAGCCCCATAAATTGTTTCACATATTTGGGATCTTCCATATATACACCAGGTACCCCGATTCCTATTCACCTTTTCCAGATGTCCAGTACTGTAAGCCTCTAAATCATAATACTGAGGGATTGGCAAGAGGTTTACCACTTTTTCGGCATCTGCTGAATACTGCAGAGGAAGAGACAGGATATGAGTGCAGTGTGGGAATGTTAATGACATTTTTAACATGTGCTCATGGAGCAGCTGCTCATTACCTTTGCCAAGAGCTGAGGAAGAACCACAATAAAGTGTTCAGTAATTTTGGTACAATCTTCCAATTGTATTTTCTTTTCTTTCACTGACAGGATCTACAGAGAAAGCATTTTTTTCAGTTATACAATACTCTCAGATTTGAGTGGGATTTTACACTTACCCCACAGTAGAAAGTATACTGTCATGTGAGGTTAACTAACACAAACCACTAGGCTGAGGTACAAATATTTTTTTCCCTTGGATTTACCCAGCTTTTGAAAAAAAAAAAACAACAACCTGGAATTAGATTTCAACAGACAAAGTGTTCTGTTTGGATGGGGACTACTGTATAACTCTATCGGCTAACAGATAAAAATGGCCTCTGTGTGTCATTAACATGTCTCCACTGAGCTGCGCTTCCACTAAAAGCTCATCTCAATCAATACCTATTGCTAATAAAATGTTTTGTTTGGAGGCCAAGGTTTGGCTTGTAAAAACAAACTGCTTTCTTTCCAAAGTACCTGCCATTAGTGCACATAGGAAGGACAGATTTGACTGCAACACAATAAAAAAAATTAGAACAAAATCCACCTACTTTCTTGGCTGCTCCTCTGCCCACAGGAGGGTGACCTTCAGCAGCTTCTCGAACAGTCACTAGGATTATTTCAATCAGTGCATTTTCCTGGGCCCCGCTCAGTGCTGTAAGCAAACCACAATCTCTTTTCAGTGTCACACCAAAGCAAACTGAAGATGCACCTGCAGCTAACAAAAAAAAAGCTTACTGCTTCCTCAAAACACCTCTGAAGTGATTTTAAAGGGGAAAGAAAAATTGAGTTAAATCCAACCTAAAGATGAGCTGAAACTATCTGCAACATTTTGCAAAGCAAAAAGCAGTAATTCCCTATGAAAGCCAGGTAAGTGCAGATAGGCAGTTGGTCAGAGGTGTTGGTTGTAGCTGTGTTGGCTTAAAGATATAGGCAGAAAAGGTTCTTTCGGTAAATCCATTATCTTTTATTAAACCAACTAAAATAGTTGGAAAAACTCTTCTTTCCAAGCTTTCTGATACAAACACCCTTCTTCGGGCAGGTAGTGGTATTTTCCAAAGAGCTTCAGAGACCAATACCTACTGAAAATCCCATGAAGTGCCAGTCTGAATCTTTAGGTACCTAGATCCCATTAAAAAAACTGGGCCTACACATTTTAAATCAACCTCACAGAATTTCCTCTAGTTCTACCATAATAAATACTATTTAAGACAAGTTAAGATAGTTTCACATATAAACAATCCCTCCAACAGCTGTGTTTCAGTGAACTGGTGCACTTAAATTCCTCAGATCCATCATGAAAACCAATCAACTCAATACCCCTGCCTTGAAATGTAAAGGAAAAAAATCAAGATTTCTAAATAGAAAAGAACTTTCATGTAGTATTTTATTCTTTTCACCTTACAGTAAAGTTGGTCTGTTTGATTCACCACAAGTCTGGAAAAGGGCCAACATGGTCCCTATTTTCAAAAAAGGGAGGAAGGAGGATCCAGGTAACTATAAGCCGGTTAGTCTCACCTCTCTCCTTGGGAAAACCTTTGAAAAAAGTATTAAGAAACATTTGTGGGAGTGCAGCGAGAAAAATAATGCTGAAGGGCAACCAGCATGGATTCACAGCAGGTAGATCCTGCCTGACTAACCTTGTTTCTTTTTACAACCAGGTCACAAAATGCTTAGATGCAGGAGTCAAGGTAGATGTCATTTACTTGGATTTTAAAAAGGCCACTGATATGGTGTCTCATCCCATTCTTATAAATAAACTAAGCGGCTGTGACATAGATAATTACACAGTCAGGTGGATAGCGAATCAGCTTATGGGACGTACCCGGAGAGTGGTGGTGGACAGGTCAGTATCAACCTGGAAAGATGTGGGCAGTGGGGTCCCCCAAGGTTCAGTCCTTGAACCAATGCTGTTCAATATCTTCATCAGTAACTTGGATAAGGGTGTGGAGAGCACTCTGTCCAAATTTGCAGACAACACCAAATTATGGGGCAAAGTAAACACACGGGTGGGCAGGGAGCAGATTCAGGTAGATTTGGACAGGTTGGAAAAGTGGGCAAAACAGAACAGGATGCAGTTTAACGAAGATAAGTGCAAAGTGCTCCACCTAGGGAGAAAGAATCACTGACACACATACAGATTGGGAGATGACCTTCTAGGTAGCACAGTGGCAAAAAGGGATCTCAGAGTCATAGTCAACTCCAAAATGAACGTAAGTCATCAATGTAACAAAGAGATAAGTAAAGCTAACCGCACTCTATCATGCATTAGCAGGTGCATCACAAACAGGTCTAAGGAGGTGACTGAGGCATTGGTAAGGCCACAGCTGGAGTACTACATCCAGTTTTGGGTGCCGCACTTCAAGAAGGATGTGGACAACCTTGAAATGGTCCAGAGGGCTACTCATATGTTTAGGGACCTGCAGGTAAGGCCCTATGAGGAGAGACTGAGGGACCTGGATCTCTTCAGCCCCCGCAAGAGAAGGCTAAGGGGTGATCTTACGACCATCTACAAATTCACTGGGGGGTGGGCAGGAAGAAATAGGAGATGTTCTGTTTACCAGGGCACCCCTTGGGGTAACTAGAACCAATAGCCACAAACTGAGCAGATTTAGGTTGGACATCAGGAAGAGCTTCTTCATAGTAAGGGTTACCAGAATCTGGAATGGGCTTCCAAGAGAAGTGGTGCTCTCCTCTACCCTCAAGGTCTTCAAGAGGAGACTGGACAAGCACCTGGCTGGGATGATCTGACCCCAGAACTCTTTCCTGCCCAGAGCAGGTGTCAGACTCGATCATCTACTGAGGTCCCTTCCGACCCTAAAAATCTGTGAAATCTATGAAGTCACAATTACAGTACACATATGGTGTAAATCAATGATATCTTTAAAGTCTTCAGAGTAAATCCATTTTGGAATTTCATGGGAATTTCACTGGCTTTATTTAAAGCAGATTTTGCAGTATTTCTCTATTAGGACAACTGGTTCAGTGTCACTGGGATTAAACTTCCCCAGAAGCTAATGGGTCAAAGTTTATGAAATGCCACTAACTTTAATCAAATTCTATCCTCTTCTACCAGGACTGGAAGTTGACTCATCTTCTTACCAAGACCACATCTGACTCCTCAGACCCCTCTTTGTGGCTCTTCTGCAGTCTAGAAACAGGACTGAAGCTTCTCTCACCTTCAGAGTAGAAAGCCATGGGATACCACAGTGCTCTCAGTGTTGCTCAACATGCAACCTAACTGTTGTTACATTGCACTGGGTCCACTAGAATCTTTTCTTAATCGGCCAAACTCCCAAGAAAGTGAGAGGAAAAAGAAGAAAAAACATCTTTCACTATCCACTTTCCAGAAGACACAAAGGAAGGACAAAGGAAAAATAAAAGATAAGGGGAAAAAGAGCCATAAACACTTGTGGCATAACAACCTGACAGCAGTTCACAAGGATTCGTAAGTGCATAAACAAACAAGGATTCTGAATCATGACAATCAAATCATTTGAAGTAATATTGGCAGGACACTGAGCTAAGTTGCCCTCCAAAGTTAAATAACCTTGTTTTAACTGAAGACGAAACAAGGTTCTTCCAGAAAACAACAGTTCTTTTGGCAACACAAAGCATTTTGCCCACCTACCTCCATCTTCTTCAGCATCTTGCAACAAAAGGCTTGTCATACACGCCCAATCCTTCAACAGACTGGCCGCCCAATCCCATAAGCTGTCTACAAGGTATGCAACATGTTTGTGTAGCTAGATTTAAAAAAAAACAAAACAACACAAGCATACAGAACCAAACACTGTGAAATCTGAATATAGTTGATCGTATAGTGCTCACTCCCTCTCCAGCTAGAAAGCTGTACCATTCATTCATATTATCTATATACATGCATATGCAATTCTTCAAGCATGTTAACTGCTGACCAGACCCAAATTAAATACTGATTCTTCAGTCTGATATATAAGGAATAGCAAGATGGGGAGGGGAGAGAGATGCTTTTAAGGACAGAAAGATATTTTAAGAAGTCTCCCTAAATCACCTTGCTTATTACTGTTAAATTACTGTTAACAATGCCTAAAATTCCCATTGCCATGTGGGGCTTTGATGTCAGATACACTTCAGGGCTACGTATTAGTTGCTTCGACTTCATTTAGTCCTATTGGACTCCTCCACCACGCATTTTTTTTTTCTTTTCCAGAAAGCCAGTTCAACATTAATACACATGGAAAATAAATGTCTTGGTATGACAGAACATAGCTGCACACCTTTGCTTCACTCAAACTCATCCTACAAAGTTGAGAAATCAAACGAAGCCTTTCAAAAGAAAGTCTTTGCTTTGGATACAGAACAATATCCAGCAACACCCTAGCACCAAGTCTCAGGCAGGTGCAGTGGACCCGAAAGGCTCCCACTGATCTTTTCATCTATGACTATCAACATCATCCTCACCTCACTCTCCAAGAAGAAAGCTATTAGAATTCTCAAGCGACTGGCACTGGGCTCAAATTTCCCTCTACTTTTGGGCAGACCTTCTTCTTCATCTCCCTGATTATTAAGCAACCTGTGAATAGAAAAAGGAAAAATATCAGTCCAGTTCTGCTATGTACCTTCTGCTTACTCTGCAGAACACAAGGATTCTGTCAACATTTCAGGAAGATTGAATTCTTTCAAGTTCTCTTCACCTATTCCACAAACATATCCTATCTTCCTGTCAGCTGGGAGGAAGGAGAGAGAGATTATTTTCAGTTAAAAAAGTTCTGCCATCTCCGTGGATGCAGGGACCACCACTGATCATGGCCTGCCAGTGCACTGGATACCAGACAAATTACACCTAGTAACAGCACATCATGAGATATACCTTGATCCTTTAAGGATGCCTGGTCTCCACAATCATTTAAAGGTTACCACAATGATAAATATGGTTCATGGGAAAATATTACTGCTCGATGATAATTTGTATTATGGATGGCTGCCGGATGGACCATCCATCCAATGAACAGACATGGATGGACAAACCAATGCTCTTAAAGAAAACCCAGGATTGTGCGTTTCCAACAGGTGTTTTATCCCAACTGACAACTACACTGGGAAAAGTACTCTCCTTGCATTGCCCAAGGTATAGCATGACAGTCCTTTGTGATTTCAATTTTCTCCTCCTCTCCCCACAGAAATCCAAGAGTGAGGTTGCTGCTCATGAAAGGTGACAATTTAAGTCCTGGCACTCATGGATGAGCAGAGCCTGCCACATCATGCCTCCAGAAAATTAACAGGCCACAGGACTGAAAATTGAGGTACTACAGAAAAAGATTTGCCAGTATAGTTATGTCAGTAAACCTTCCTAATGGGCACAGCTTAAGCCAGAAAAAAAAGAACAACATAATCCAGCCCAATAAGCAAAATAAACTAATACTGATGACCCTACCTCAGGGGTGGAAAAATACAACCTGCAGGCCAGATCCAACCCGCCAACAGATTCAATCTGGCCCATGAGTGGACAACTGCCAACTCACTAGATCTGGCCTGCAGATGTCTCCAGTGGCTCTGGTTGCCATGTGCTGCCAGGCAGGCAGGTGGGACCACTTCTGCCCAGCAGCATAAAGCATCATCTTTACACCCAGGTGGGCAGTGGCATCAGTTGTGGACACCAAAGGCAGTTTCAGGACCTTGGACACAGAACCTGCCACGGCATCTACAGCTGACTCATTGCCCTCCCAGCATGGTGGAAGCTACTGCCTGAGCCCCAACCCAAAAAAGAGGAGGCAGAGGGGGAAAGAAACAGAGAAGAAGAGACGAAAGCAACAGAGATGGATGTGGCTGACAGGCCCCTAAAACTCACTGAGTGGCCCTCTGACTGAAATAATTGCCCACCCCTGCCCTACCCCCTTCCCAAATAATGTTTTTGTTAGTAAACTGTACCTATTGTTCAGAAAAATGTACCTAGGGCTTTGACCAATATAGAAACATTACCCAAAAAAGGCAATGTAGGGCTAGGAGGATGAGATGAAAGACTTCACCTAAAAGGGTTGTTTTTGGCTCCACAAACCTTAGTTAGTTTAGCTGAGTGGGAATGGACAGAAAACAGGAGAGTGTACGCAAGTGTGTGAGAGAATAAGCAGTCGGTTTTTAATTTTGCCCCTCCACAGCCTTACCAAAAAATAAAACTTTATTCTTACAAAACAAAATAGAGCATTCTGTCCAGCCATAGATACAGAATGTGTACTAACTCCCTTTTTAGCTTGCCAGTCCGATTCATTTCATGCAACCGTTGTTATAAAAAGCCCATTTATAAGAGTTACTCCTGGGGGGCTTAAATCCTGTACTTCATTAACTTGACTGAAAATTGTGAGGGCTTTTTAATCTGCTGAAGCTCTCATTAATCCAGGGCTTAACAATGTATAAGGCAACTTCCAGAGGGAGAAGAGGAGGCCACCTTTGCGATTAATCACAAACAGCTATAAAAATCCAGCAGATGCGAGGTGATGAATTGGCTCATAAGCAGCAAAACATAAGGGAAACAATGTATAAGGAAAGGCTGTATGGTCCTCCAATTGAGTCAACACCTGTGGATTAGTCAGTTGTTTTATACTTTATTTATTCATTCAGCCTTATACTTTTCTTATGCTTGTTTAACAGACCTGGACTAGGCAGCAAAACAAATGGTTAGCCCCAGATTTCTGATTCAGCAGATGAATGCTAAAGAAAGCACATCTGGTACCCTCCTGACATCCATCACATCAATGGATAATGTCCCTCTTAAACCCACATTCACTGGGAACCAAAGCGATGGTGATAGAATATGCAAAAGTAGCCAAGCAACAATACCTTTTATAAAGGAATTCCCCAGCTGCTACTGCCAGTGGTCTGTGTGTCGTATAAACAAACTGGTATAAGGTTTCACAGTCTTCAGATGACAACACATCCTCACAGTTCCTATGCAAAGAGATAAAGCAAGTTATCATGCATGTTAGCTGGAAAGGATTTTATGTATCCTAACTGTGATCTATAACAGTGTTTCTCAACCCGTGGGTCACAACCCAAAAGTGGGCCACAAGAATATATGAAAGGATCACAGATAAACTTTAAAAATGGTTCATTCTTTAAAAATGGATTCTCTTTTAAAAGAGAAATATGTGGAAAACCCTGGCTTTTCCCCTGCAGGCTGGCAGAGTTCCAGCCTGCAAGGGGCTGCTAGGGGACCCCATCTGCCCCACACACCCGCTCCCTGCCAAACACCCTTGAGGGCTGGGGCTTGGGGGCAGGAGGCAGCAGGTCAGGAGTGAGGGGCACCGGGTCGGGACTGGCCATTAATGTTTACAAATGGGTCCTAGTTGAGCACCACTGATCTACAATATGTTTTGAAGAGGGCACATGCTGTGTTGACATTAAAGACATAAAAGCAACTATTTGGTTGGTTTTTTCTGTTCCAGTCTCCATCGTTTGCTCATACAAAAGTCTAGCTAGCACAACCCTTTGCTCTTGTAAGTGCCATCATATGTGCCTACTATCCCTCAGCATAAATATATCTTGCAAAACAAAGACAGACAGAATATTCCTTAAAAGTTATGGCTTATGTCTGAGACCCTGCAGGATGTTTACCCATACACTCCACAGATATATTTACTCTATGCTGCTGGACTAATATTTGCATCTATCCTATTTTAATTTTTTTAATTAATCACTGAGTAGCTAATAATGTATTTTTCCACCAATGATGTAGATATTTGACCATTACTCAGCTAAGTAATCACAATTCCTCCCCTTCCCTCCCTTACTTGGCAAAACATTTACTTAGTGCATAATTTCTGTTTGACCTATTCCTGTCAATATTTACTCAGAGAGAGACCACATTCTAAAAGGAGTCACCAAAACTGTTGCACTTCAGAGAGCAGAAGTCAGATTTTGGTTGCAGTCAAGGGCAATCAGCCTGTTGTAAATTGGCCTGTAATGATCAGGGTGCATCATTAACATTTTCACTCTAAAGGCCTGCATATTCTGCCAGTGATCATTAAAAACAAGTTGGCTGAATGCAACCTGGCAGAAAACACTTTCATTAAAACAACAGGAAACTTTTCAGCAAATGTGAGCAAGTGCTACTTAGGGAAACAAGCCATAATGATCACCTTTGTGAATCCTGAGACTTTGTTGGCTATCAGAAGAGAACAGCCCACACAAGAACAAGCAGAGAGGAGTTAGCCATGTTAGTCTGAAGTCAGGCAGAAGGCAGGGTAGATGTCTACCTTCATAGACTAACTTAGAGATGTGTACACACACACTATATATAGCATAAGCTTTCATAAGCAGAGGGCTTACTTCAGATGCTGTGAAAGGACTGCAGGAAGCAGAGCTCCTAAACAGAAAGCAGAGATTGCAATACAGAGGACAGGTACAGATAACCAACAACCCTAAGGACAGGTAAGTGGAACTTAAATAGGAAATTACAGAACAAGAAATCATCCACCGAGACTGGACTGTGTTAAGCATGCTCTAAACTGAGAATACAGATTCTTATCCTACTACTTACATTAGCACTTAAACCCAATATCCCTCAGTGGGTTATCTGCCTTGTTTCTCTCTCTCCTACCCACCCACCTTGCGTCTCTCAGAAGTGCCCTGTCCTTTTTCCTCCCCACTTCCCTGCCCTTTGTATTCTAATCACTGCTTTCTATTTAGCTGCTCTGCTTCCTAGAGTCCCTTAACAACATCTGATGGAGTAAGCCCTCTGCCTATGAAAGCATATACGCTTCTGATTTAGTTACTTTATAAAGGTGCAAACATACCCTCTTTCTAAGCATCATGGTGTTTCCAGACCACTCCTCTACTACCATTTTTTAAACCACAGCCAAATGTTTCTAGCTTAGTTTCAGAGTTGCTTATAGCAAATATTTAGATGGTTCTCTCTCCCCAAATTCTAGCAGTTAGTTCCAGGAAGTCCTGACAGCAAGATGCCTGTGTTTCTAATATTTAACTGCTAGGAATTCAGATTTGAGGCTGCTGGAGGTTTTGTATTTTGAATTTGTGACTTGTCAAGATGATAAAAAACCAAGACCGTACAGAGGGGAAACACAAAAGGGAATCAGTCCCTAAATACAGAGTTGGAACTGTGTTTTTAGACATTGTGGGAACACAAACACACACAACCCCACATGCTCACACTTTTGAAAGACTGGTGTCAAATTGAAAGGGCAAGTTCTCCACAGTGAAGCTCCTGGAGTCCAGATCATTGTGCGTGAATGTATGAAGTGAGAGGATGAAAGTTTTGATATCTGTGGCCATTTCTTGCTCTTTTACAACAACTTTCGTCAATACATTTCAAGGAGACAAAGGGGCAGGCATTACACTCACTCTGTAACTATAAAAAGTCCTTCCTTTCAAATCCCTGCCACAGGAAAGAATGTCCCATAACAGGTATGTAGGTACAACCGGCCTTTCTTTGGGGACAAGTTAAAAGACTTTACCTGGTGCAAAATCCTAGCCTGACTTAAGTCAATTTGAATGCTGCCATTATCTTTAAAGGAGTCAGGAATTTACCCCAGATATTTTTAGTCTATAATGCAGTTCTTCCCCTCCTAGGTGAGGTGTGAAAGAGAAGCTTTAGCAATAAAATGCTTTCTGGTGTCAAAGTGGTTTGGTGCATGAGAGAAAAAATAAGCCCCTTTCCCCAGTACAGGCTGGCAGCAGCTGATGACATTCCTTTCACTAATGGATTTTTTTGTTTTTTGAGAGAGAGAAAATATCTCTGCATCTGTTCTCTCTCTCTCTCCTTTCACATAGTGTTCAACAGTTGCCTTCTTTAAAGATGTCAAGTCTTACACTTGAAAATTATTTTACTAGCTCCAAGGCTCTACTTGCCTTTGGAAGAGGCAACACCTAACTACATTGACGAAGACTAATTTTGGAAACCTTCCAACAATAAACAGGTATCTTCCTTCTGTGTGTGTAAAGGGCCAATAATCGCACGCTGAAGGAATACTTTACATATTGCAATTCTACTGCTGCAAATGTACAGCCCCTAGAATGCCAAGTGACAGATAAAGGTTAAGCCAGTAGTGCCTGCCAGTATTTAGACGTCTAAAAATAAACAGGCATGGTCTTCCACATGCTAATGCCATGATAGATCATTTTTTCCATACTTCAGTGTGAACATACACTGGAGAAGACAGGGGTACTCCAGGGAATGAGCAGAGACTGTTCTGGATGCCTGCATTAGCTAGTGGATTAAACAAGATCATTTTTAATTTGCATTTCATGAGATGACCTTGGAAAGCAAAAAACCTGCTATAGTCTAAACACAAGAGATGCAGCATTGCATAGGGATTGTCTCCATCAGCTTTTGCTCACTTGCAGTTGCTTGTATTCCAGCCCAGTGCCACAGGAGAGGCACTGATGTCACCATTAACAAATTTATGCATATGACACTTAAATGGCAAGTAAAGAATGTGAAAATTGGGCCCACTGAACTGGGAAAAACTGAATAAGGAATTTTTACCATTTACTTCAAGGCTAGGGACAGAAATTACACATAAACAGTATAGGTGATCAGAAACCAATTCAAATCTGTAACACAACATAAGTTCAGTGCACATAAACCATTTTCAAAATAGCTGAAACTGGTTTAAAATAAACCCGGATGGATGTAGTGTTAAATTTAACTGATTTAGGTTAAATCAGTTTATTTTAACTTCTGTCCCAGATCCCCTCCAGATTCAAGTTAACTCCCAGTCCCCCCAGCATCCAAGGATGCTTTGCGCCTCCCACGCAAACCCCCCTTCACAGGGCAGGCAGGCTAGCCTTGGCCCAAGCTGCCTGCTCCAGCTGAGCACGGAGACCAGCTATAGCGACCTCTGGCTTCTGGCCTGAGCTACTGCAACCATGCAGATGCATTTCCAGAATCAAAAGTGAATGTCTGTTCACCTGCTTATCAGTTCAATCTATAAAGCTTAGACTAAACTGCGAAGATTGAATCAATTCAGCCTCAAGCTTTTTGACACAGACAAGTGCAGGGTACTGCACCTAGGGAGAAGGAACCAGCAACACACCTATAGGCTGGAGAAAACCCTTCTTGTCAAAAAAACAGCAGAAAAGGACCTTGGAGTCATTGCTGAATCCAGGATGAACATGAGCCGCCAATGCGAGGAAGCGGTCAGTAAGGCTAACCGCACCTCGTTGTGCATCTACAGATGCATCACAAGCAGGTCCGGGGAGGTGATCCTCCCCCTCTATGAGGCGTTGGACAGGCCACAGTTGGAGTACTGCATCCAGTTCTGGCCACCGCACTTCAAGAGGGATGTGGCTAGCATTGAGAGGGTACAGAGGAGGGCCACTCGCATGATGAAGGGGCAGTGGGTCAGGCCCTCCAAAGAGAGGCTAAAGGGCCTGAACCTATTTAGCCTCCACAAGAGAAGGCTGAGAGGGGAGCTGGCAGCCATTTACAAACTCACCAGGGGGGACCAGTGGGAATTGGGGGAGGCTCTTTTCCCCCAGGCATCACCCAGGGTTACTAGGAATAACAGCCACAAATTGTTAGCGAGAAGGTTCAGGCTCAGTGAAACATGGAAGCTAGTTATTGAAAGGCCCTACTGGGTCATGTAGTTGAGGTCCCTGTCAAGGTAGCATTATTTACTATGTTAAGCTTAATAGGTGTTATGCTGATATATTATTTGCTATGGCACATTTTGCCAATCCCATTTAAGCACTTAAGTAACAGTGCTTCTACCATGTCAGCTAGAAGTCATTTAACAGTGTTACAGAAAAAGAGGAAGGATAGTAATGTTTTTAAGCACAAAAGAAAAATATTGCTCTCTAATCCCTTGTTCCTTATCAAGTCTTATAAAGCTAAGGATGCTGTTTCCATATCTATAAGCTTAATTAACACACCTTGCCTATCTGAAAAAGCTGAGGTGAAATGTTTTTACCCTGGTAAAGCATTTTAA